TGCCCAACTTCCGGGGTTCTGACCTGTGCTAGCCCATGTGCACAGATCCCACGCTCAGATGTGCTGCTGTGCAGTTCGGGTGTTTTTTGCTGAGTTTTACATGTTCGGCTTATTGTTTCAAGGGGAGAGATCTGGGGACATCTCTCACACCACCATGTTTCTCCAAACCTCTCTTCCCTATTAATTTTTGGCATATATTCTTCTCTTTTTTTGAGCAACAATATTTTAACATGACTGATATCACAATGCATATCCAACATTGCATCTTTCTCATATTTTATTTAAACAAATCTAAATGTTTTCTATTTAGTTTTTTCTCACTATTTCTTTGATGTTAGAGATAAAACTGCCATAAAAATCTTAGCAGCGATGATCAGATCAGAAATGACACCAAGTGCATTTATGGGAGTAGAATCTGATGCTAATATGGCTGATATCTGAAAAAAATATATTCATTTCTGGGGAAAAAGGAAATCCAGAACTATAAAAATTAGTCACAACGGCTAGACTTCCAGTCTTTCTACACTGTCCAAGCTGAAAGTCCATCATTTCCTGTGCTCATTTTTCTGTCAGGTTTCCCTTGAACAACCTGGAAAATCTGCTTCGTCAAACAACAGAATAGAAGCACAGTAGTTTGAATATGAGTTGAAAATGACAGTAGTGTATCTCACTGTTTTAGAGGAAATGCAAAACACAAAGGTGCTGAAATTAAGACAATATTAAAGAAAAGATTAGAATTCAATAAACATGTGCCACTTTGACACCAGTCACACGTGGCTCCTCTCCACCTGATCAACTAAAAGTTCCTTAGTTCAGGGACGGTGCACAAAGACACTTTTGGTTTCTGCCTAAGTCATATGATTAAGCCTATGACTGACCACAGGATTTGGCAACCTTTTCATTCAACTTTTGAAAGGATCCAGATCAGATCTTTGGAAGAATGGGGTGGTATCTTTTAAGGAATGAGATGGAGAAAACAAGAAAATATTGGTAAAATAGTTTATACCATTCATTTTTAAAAGATTCGATTTGGCCAGCAGGAAGTATAAGAAACAGGAATAAAAGCTTCACTTGGCCTAAACATTTTTCAAGAGATAAATGCTGTGGAGGTTTACATGGAAGTGGAGAAGGCCAGAACAGGACTGACCAGGTGTAAAAGCAATAGTATAAAAAAAATGGTTTATATTTTGTATTTTTGAGACTGGAACCCTGATAAAACTCTGATTTTCTATCTTTGACAGGGTAGAGACTTATTTTCAAGTTATCTTCTATGTTGAGAACTCCATCGGTGACAATTGGAATGATTAGGTTTTTGAGAAAACTAAGAGAACAGCACAGACCCTACTTAAATAAACTTTGGTTCTTTTCTTTGGACTATAATGTGGTCAAATTAGACTCAGGTATTTACAAGGGGATTTTGAAATTATCTTACCCAGTGGTTCTTAACTGGGGGACAGATTATGAGTAAGGTAGCATTGGAACTCATTTTCCTTCTCTTGCTGAGAAATACTGATAGCATCTAATTCTCTTTTATTTCAGGTAGGAAAAGCAAAAGCCCAAGAAAACAGGTCAAATGCCTAAGGGCACTTTGTCATTAATGGTACAGTAGGACTAGAACAAGAAAGGAAGCAGGATAGCATTCTTCCTACCTTGCACCTGGAAGCCACATGGACATTACAGCATGGAGGCAGACACCTTACCAATGGTGTTGCTGAGAACTTCTTCCTATCCTCATCCCTGAATTACATTTGCTCCCAGTCCTTTGCGTCTCTGCTTTTAAACTCTTTCCTTGACCAAAAGTCAGCCATGGTGAAACTGGATTTATGTGTGAGATTAGATAGGCTTTACCTGATGGAACAAGTCTAAATGACCGGGAGTCATTGAGAGAGACCATAAGGCCCCATACGACTCAACACCAGTGCCATGTAAGATGATGTCCTCATACACAAGGGGTGAGGAGGTATTGGTCCTCTGACTTTGGTCTGTACATTAGCCTCAGAAAATCTGATATTTCTAGAGATAGGTGCCCAGGTGCTAGAAAGTTTTTTGTTTTTTTTTCCCCCTTCCCTAAAAAATTTCACCCAAGCCCCTCCATAAGGATGAGAACCTGACATTTCAAAGAGCTAGCAGCAGGGAGTCTAGAGCCTTTTGGTAATTTATACTGGTCACTTTTCATTTTTTCAGCTGCTCTGTCAGGATATAAATTAAATGATTCAGAGATAGTTTTTCTCTTCAGAGCTGAATGTGCCTATTGCTCCAACTACTATTATTTAGGAATGTTTTCACTTTATTTAAAGAAAATATATGCATAAGTATGTTTTAAATTATCCATGATAATGGTGGTAGTGGCGATAAAGGGGAAAAAGATAAGAATGTCCAGTTAGTTGGAAATCATAATTTCAATATTCATAATAACTTTAGGAAGTAGTTGTGGAAACGAGTCCATTAAAATCTCAAGTTAAAAAAGATGATCATATGCAAGCATGTTCATAATTGCACTATTTGTAATAGCTCCAAACTGGAAACTTTTCAAGTGCCTGCTAACAGTGGAATAGATGAATTGTAGTATGGTCACACATTAGAATATTATTCAGTAATGAGAATGAACGATCCACACTCAAATACAAAAATATAGATGTATCTCACAAATGTCATACTGAAGGAAGCCAGCCGCAAGAGAATGCATGTTGATTGATTCTATTTACATAAAAGACAAAAACAGGTGAAACTAGTGTATGATATTAGAAATCAGGTCAGTAGATGTCCTTGGAAGAATGGTTGGGAGAAGGGGCTTCTGGGATCTGGGAAGCAATGTTTTGTTTCTTCTAAGTGTTGGTTATACGGTTATATTCAGTTGGAGAAAGTTCATTAAGTTGTACAATTATGCTTTATGAAATTTTTGTATATATGTTGTTATTTCAATAACATTTTTTAAGAAAGGCAAATGGACATTTTCAAGAAGCAGGAAAACCAACAAACAGGAAAAATACAAAATCCTCATTTTCATCTTTTGTTGAGAAAAATAAAGACTTTGAAAGTGTATCTTTTTGTAAAATATGAATCAAGTAATAAAATGAACTAAAGTAGTCAACAGGATGGGAAAAGAGAAGAATATAAAAGTCTCAAGAGGTGAGTTCCTATCAGGGCCTTAAATAGTCCCCTCCCAGAACGCGGAGAGTTAGAATTTGAGAAGCAGGTATATCTGAGGTGGTGGTGCGGAAGCCTCTCATTTCTATTTAGAAATGCACTTTTCAGAGTGAAGGGTTAAAGGAGTAGAACTTAGTAGTTAAAAGATGGTCACAGATGGGCCTGTAGTGTATAGCATAGGGAAAGTAGTCAGTAGTATTGTAATGGCTGTGCGTAGAGCCAGATGGGTGCTAGAGTAATTGGGGGGATCATGTCATAAACTATAGAAATGTCTAACCAGTGTACTGTATACTTGAAACTCATAATAAAATAAAAATTTTAAAAATGCACTTTCCAAAGCTAGACGGCTGACACAGCAGGCTTAGTGAGTAATGGCCCCACATTTCAATTTATTATCAAAATATTTCCATCAGATGACAAATCTGAAAAGATAAGGAGATGCAGAGCTACATCGATGCACTCTTGCCCCTTTATTACAGCCACCTCAGGGACAGGTTTAATTGTGAAAATCCTGCTTGTAAACTACAAGTCTTATGTATCTTTAGACAACTGTCCAATGGCAATTTTTAACCCAAGGTTTGTACTTAAAACGTTTCATCAATATGATTTATAAGTTTAAAAAGTCTCAAAATGTTTATCTGTATATCACTTTACAGATCTTGGTTCGTAACTATTTATCTCGGTCTGAAATTCAATGATTACCTATAATAATAATTACTTAGTCATAAATGTAGTTAATAATTAAATATAAAAATTATTATTTATACATTACTACAAATCTCTTAAAAAGACCAGGTTTTGAGAGCGAGAGAACAAGAAATTGCTTAGAAAATTTCAGGGAGCCTTAAGAATCCAAGTATCAGTCAAAGCCAAGTATAACAAAAAACAGTTGTAGACATTTTAGCCCTAAGTGCTTAAAAGAAAATGATCTCAGAATGAATGACTGATGACGAGCAAAGTTAGTTGAAAACTACATAAGTCCCAAGGTCCCAGTATGTATAAGAATTCTTTGGAAGAGACTTGAAGAATAAATGTTGCAAATAAAAGTAAAAACTAGTACTTTAGAAATGTGCTTTTAACTCTCATGCCGCAGCTCTGCTTCTGGTGCCAATGGCCTTTTTTCACTTCTTCATTTTCCTCTTGATTAGAAATCCTGCTCTACATAGTGGTGAACACTGATTTTAAGAGACATCAAACTGGCAGATCATGTGAGAAACAGAAATGAATGGTAATACTCTCTTTACAGATTAAGCATTATTTACACAGTGAGAAATGACTGATTTGATAAGACATTAGAGCCCCTCCTCCCTCCACGTCTTTTCCAGAATAAACTTCATTTTTATTATGATGCTCTCATCTCTGTTAACTGTCCCCATGTAATACAGTGACCTCTATGGCCCTTTCTCTTCGCAGAGTTCCCCATTTCTGCAGTGTTGACAAGTCCAGCCAAGGGCTGCACCAGTTCTTCTGAAGATCACCAAATTCGGCATTTTGTTTCTGGATTCATGTATGAATTTTTGAGGCAATGAAAGGCTTCGGAAAACTCAGGGGAGTTCTGCAAAGTCCCAATAATCCTATGAAACAAATAAACAAAAGTCACTATCAGCATCTGATATGCATGTCCATACCATGTGGGAGCTCTAAAGAATTTCTTTATGTAGGCCCAGTGAGTGAATTTGGAATTTATAGTTTAAAAGAAAAAGAAAAAAAGAAACTGGTAGAATGAGTCCATTCCTCATTAACAGAATTTGTATATGGAAAGGTAACAAAGTGTAGAGTTAAGAGAACAGATTTTGAAGACAGACTATAGGATTTGAACCCTGGTTATGAGTTGCATTCATTTAGCCTCTCTGTGCTTCAGTTTCCTTTTCCGTAAATGCATATAATAATAGTACCTTCATTTTAAGGTTGTCATGGGAAGTTAATTTATAAACATCCTATATGTATTTGTAAAATAAATGCATGATTCATATTTGGAATTGTAGTTAATATAAGAAGAGTTTGACCAAAGAATAAAATCATGATTTTTCACTATATCTTGAAAGGGCTCACACAATAATTTAAATATAATGGACTTTAAATAGATATTTGTTGATTTGATTTAACAGGGAAGATAATTCTTTTCTTTCCTTTTTTTTTTTTTTTTCCCAAAAGCACTCCATAAATATCAAAAACTGGATTTGGCCTGAATAACTGGAAAGGGCTGGCAAAATGCCAATTTCTTCTTATCTCTGACCCCAATGGGCAAAAACAACACTGTCCAAACTACTATCGGCACCAAGCAGCATTTGAAGGGAGAGACAGGTCAGTACAATGATGCAGAGGAGATGTTTTCCCATCATCCCCGAACCAGCTCCTTTCCTTCTCTTCCCATTGGGACCACCTGCCACACCCACCTTGGGTTAAGAGGAGGTGGCTGGGAGGCTAGTGGACTGGAGTAGTGGGGAGACTAGGAACAAGTGACACAGAGAATCTTCTAAGTTACGAAGATCTGCATACACGGAGGATGTGCTAACGTATACATCTTCCCACTTCCCTCCCCTCAAACTTGTTTTCCACACAGCAATCACAGTGATCTTTAAGATTTAGATCAAATTCCATAAATCTCTTACTTAAAACATTCCAGAGGCTTGAAGGAAAGCCACCCACCCCACCGTGATTTCCAATGTCCTGAGGGCTCCAGTCTACCTTTCCGGCCACCTCACAATACGTTTCTTTTCCCATTTCTCCTTAGGCTCAAACTACACTGAACTACTTTCCATTTCTCAAAATGGCCAAGTTCACTCCCTCTTCAGCGCCTGCTGCTCCTGCTGAGCCCACACCCTGCTAAGTTACTCCTCAGTGACTATACGGCTAGCTCCTTCTCAGCCTTCATGTCTCCACTTACACCTCCTCAGAGGCTTTCTTCAAATACTGTCTAAATTAACTCCTCTCACCTGGACTAGCCCCATCACAGCACTTAACACAGCTTACAATGACCTGCTCCTTTACTTCCTGACGTATCCACTACATCGGAATCTCTATGAAGGCAAAATACTATGTGTACTTGCTTCTCACTGCACCCCAAAGCCTAGTATAGTGCTTTGCATATTGCAGGACTCATTACACACTGGAGGAATAAATCTGTCGCTTGATCACAGTGATTATATGTACAAGAGTGATAAGGCATTATGAAAAGAAACACTGCTTAGTATTTTTGTTGTTTATTTGCTACTATGAACCCATTAGGACAGAAAGAAAGCTTTTCCTTTCCCAACCCCCATTCTAGGAACTTCTCAAAGTCTGACTTCCTAATGTGTCACCCATTACCACATCAACTACCTCTCAATACCTCCCACCACCTGTCCTTCAGGGAGGACGTAAACTTTTTTGGTTTTTAGGACTCCTAGGGGAGTCTTAAAAGTTAAAAGAAATCTGCCTGGGATAGAGGTAGGGGTTGAGGACGAGTGGAGGCCAAAGCTGGGGAATTTACATCTGTTAGTCTACATGAGAGGGAGAAGACTGGCCCACACCCCAAGCCTGAGGAGGCGCCCAGTAATGGTGTGTGAATGACCAGACACGCCTCCACTCTGATCAGAGGGTGCTTGGCTGTCAGGGAGCCTGATCATCAAGAGCGGTGGCCCCTGAGGCCCTTGCTCGAGACCACTGGAAGGAAATGGAGCCACCTGACTTCCCGTGGAGCTTCTGGACTGTAAGAAGGTCAGGGTGGCCACAGCAGGGTGGCCACAGCAGGGTGGAGATGGAGGCTTGTCAGTAATTTCTAGGCTTCCATGAGGACTCTAGGTTCTTGTATAGTACCAGAAAGGAGTGCACTGAAAACTGCTGAAATTAAATTTCTCACATTATAGCTTTGAGTGGGAGCTTAGAGCATGAATTAATTTGATGTAAAAGTAATAATAAGTGTGTCATTTCCTACATCTGAAAGTTCAGAACAATTCACTTGATACATGGTCAAACATGACTGTATATGTAGGAATAAAAAGATTTAGACATCAGGGCTCCATATGGGTTTTCAGTCTTTTAGGTTCTAGGCCCATGGACTCTAAGTCAAAGAGAGCTCTGACCCTTTTATTCCTATCTCCTCTCACTTTAAGAAGCCCTGTACACTGACTGAGAGACAGCCGTCAAGATGGCCTGACTAGCCTCCAAGTAAGGAGACATTGACTTGAAGAGTTGCTGTTTTTTTTTTTTTAAATTTTATTAATTTTTTTTAAAAAGAATTATGTCTTAAGTATAATCATATGAGGACAAGAACTTCAGTAAAAATGTTCGAACCCAGGATTTAATTCTACATTTCTCTTAAACATATTAAGGAAATTAAAAAGAAGAAAAAACTGTGCCTCAAAAGAAGTCTTTACAAAACACAACTAAGAGTTAGCAATGCGACAATACTCAACCTCCTGCACACTTAACTCTCCAGCTCCATACCACCTCCTCTCTTTGCAGCCAAAGGCTTCACTTAGATAATTTAATTCTGAGTAATTAGGTCAACAACATACTTGGGGTTCATTTATTTTCCTAGGACTCTAGTTATTGCTTGGTTGTTTATAACATCAAATCTTTGAATAGATGACATAGTCTATTTAAAGAAGTGTATACACTATTAATAAAAAATGAATCCATTCTCTAAGAGTGGGATCATACTTCATTAACATTACATAGAAAGCTTACATGAATTTCATGTTATGAAAACTATATAGTTTTTATATTTGTGCTTATAATAACAGAAGATAATAAAGGCTTTTACTGATTATTTCTTAAAGTGATTTAGTTGAACTTTTTACTTTATCCCATAAACTATGTTATTGTACTGCTGCTGTTTATTCCCTTGGCAAATAATGGCTCGTATTAAAAACATCTATAGGTGAATGATGGGAGAAGGAGGAGGAAATGGAAGACAGTAGTCAAAACTGCACAGACTTCCAGTTTGGATGTCAGTTGAACCTACTGTGGTAATCATTTCATAATATATGTAAAGCAAACAATCAAGCCGTATGCCTTAAACATATAGTGATATATGTCAATTATTTCTCAATAAAACTGGAAAACATAAAAAAAATACCTAAGAGATATGGAATTGGATATCATGTGACCAAGAGTGGACTTTGTATCCTATAACTGACCTGATTACACTTGTCTGCAATTAACTGGATTTTTGAATTACTGAATAAACATTTTTGCAATTAATGGGTCCTCTGACATCCTTTTGTTATTTCTTTTTAAATAAATGACTTGGCTACAAGGTTAACTAGAATCATTCATGAATAAACTCTCCAATCGTTACCATTAACTAATGTTCATGATTCTTTTAAAGTAAGTTCACATCGATCAGCATGTTTCACTAAAAATTTATAAAGAAATAAATGCCTGAATAGATTTCTAGGTATGAGCTAAAGATTAATAAGAGCTAACAGGACTTCTATAAGACTCACCAAAATCCACTCTGATATTTACAAAATATCAGAAACCAATGCTAATATTTAAGATAAATGGAGAAAACATTAGTATTTCAAAGAGGGTTTAGCTTAAGTATGCTAAATAATGGAATTGTAAGGAACAAAATAGCCATATTACTTGAAAATGTCCACATAAAACACTACAATTTTTTTCAAAAGTATCAGTAAGCAAACTATGGAAAATATTTCTTGTATTATTAGTGGTGTTAGTTTTATAAAGTATCCCTTTTCTGACTGGAAAATAGTATCCAACAACCTAAGCATCTAAATTAGCTCCATTACTATTTAAGTAGCATACACACTGGTAACATTTTGTCTATTAGGACTTGCTTTAACAAATTACCAGACTCTAATATATTACATAGAAATATTACATCTAAACAACTTTACAAATTATAGTAAATATAATTTTACAGATAACAGTAAATATTATCCTAACAACCATTCCCTGAAGTGACTGTGGATGGCTAATAAAAGCTGGATTTCTAAAAAGAAGTCCTTTAAATTGTGAATTCAATTTCAAGAATATCAAGGGAAAATATTTTTGTTTTAAATATTAAACTTTTATTTAAAGTTTATTTAATTTAAAAGTATCTAAGACTTTAGTTAGCAAGACTAGGATAATTATAGCTTAGACCTAACAAATGGTTTTATAGATTCAGCTTTATATAAAGAATAATTTGCCTTTTGTTTTTTGTACTGTGGCTGTTTAAGCATAAGATTACGAAAACTCCCTCTGTTTCAGAAATTTCTACATCAACCACTCTACACAATTTTTCAATAGCAACTCAATGTCTCTTAGTTTTCAAGGTTCTTTAAAAATGTTTTACTTTGTACAGCTAGGAAGCAGCCTGTTTCCAAAACTAAATGTAACTTCAACCTTTTGCCAAGGAAATCCCTTTACCTCCAGAGAAAATAATTTCCTTGACAAAAGGTTGGCAAAATTTACCCTTAAAAAAAACAAAAACCATCAACACATACTCTTCTTATTATGAATGAAAAATCATCATGAAGACATCTTTTGGGCCAGAATAAAGAAAATAAAAGTTGCAAATAATTTCACACATTTATAATAAAATAATAAATATTTTTACAAATACAAAATTCTATGTATTTATAAAAAAATTGTTTTCAGTTTAAAATTGGTGGTAGAAAACAGTTACATATCACTTAACCAGTGATCAGTTATTGACATTCTGAACTATTCAGACATAAGCAATGAATAGTCAGAAGCCCGCAACTGTCAGTTAACAAGGAATGTTGCAAAGTCTGTATACTTTATTCATAGAAATTCTTATTCAGTTCATACCTTTCTTATCCAAAACCAATCCTAGTACTAATTTTCAAACACACATATGTAATAGACACTTTGAATACATTTTAACATTAATCCTCCTAGCAACTATCATAACATTTTAATACTCATTTTACATATCAAGAAATTGAGACACAGATGGTAAGTAACAGCTTGTAAATGGCAAAATCATGGTTGAAACTCATGTGTTTCTTATTTCAAAACTTGCATCCATTTTTTTCCCGTACAAGTGTAAAGAGATATTTTTTTTCCATGCATATTAGAATGGAGGAATGGGACGGCCACAAGTAACAGGAAAGAGAACCAAAGACAAAACAAACAAACAGGCAAAATAAAATGTCCAAATGAAAAGTCAAAAAGCACCACCATCGGTGGTGGCTCTTTAGTGTAGGAATAAGTACCTCCCCACACTCTAGGTTTCGAGAATTTCACTAAACTAATAAATAGCGAAACCATAACGATTAGTCATAACAATAATCTGTGTCATCAAAAAAATAAAATAAAAGGATTAGGTTTTGTTCAGGATAGGCAGGAAGGTTGAAATTGTATTTTAAACAGAGAAATTTTAATCTAGTGGTTAAGATAAAAATGTTACTACTCAAGAGACAAGTTTCAGCTATCAAAAAATTAATTAATTTGCAACCCCCATTCTCTGAGGATGCCAGATGTACCAATATTACCATAATATTACTTAAATTCACTTAGGTTTTTATGAATATATGCTTTGTTTCATCAAGATATGCAGAGCAGAGCTTTGACAAATTAGATTGTTTGTGTAAACTTATAATTGCTCCCTGTTATCCTCAAAAATGAATTCTTACACCTTAACTTCCAAAGACGAAAGACACTTTTAAGAACTGAAACTAAAAGTTACTTGGATAAACCATTATGTCAATTGATCCAGTGACTTCTGTTGCTCATCACCTAAAACGTAGTTAATTTGGATATCCTAGCAAGACTAAATTTAGCTTGAATTATACACACAATGGACATACAATAAATAGTTGTTGAGTGAATGAATTTTGAAAGAACCGTTCAGGTAAATACTAAACTATGATGACAATGAAACTAGAAAAAGATGAGTAAATTCTTAATTTTTAAATGTGCTATTTTATTGTTTCACAACTGAATGTGGTTTTTCCCTAGGAGTGAACGATGCAGGCACTATGATCATGTTTATTTTAGGAAGGCCATTTAAAATTTAGCTCATAAGTTCTTTTGTTCTCAAACTCTGTTTTCCAACTACCCTACACAATTTTAAATCTGTTTTTCAGACATTTTTGCCTTAGAAGGTTGTTGTTGATCAGCAAATCAGTGATGAAGTGTTATAGTACCTGGGAAATTAGGAATTTAGTTGTAAAATAGATACACAGGATTTAGGATTTAACATTCAAACATTGGTTAGAGTGATTCTCTTTCAATCCAATATTCTCTTAGATTTTCTGATTTGGGAAGGACTTTAGATATCTTCTAATTCAACTTTCCATTCTGCAGAGCATTTTTCTCCAGTGTCCTTGAGGGGTTGTACTCTGACCTCTGCTTCAAGGTACTCTCTTCCTGGAGCTTTGGGAATAACTTTATTCCCTGTCAGACAATCTCTTACTACTAGAAAGTTTCCCTTTATGTTGAATGGAAATCTTTCTTTGGAACAGCTACTCACAGGACCTAGGCCAAAACCCTTCACAGCTTGTTAGAAATGTGTTTGTCCTAGTTTTAAATAGAGCCACTGTTCTGAGGTGATATCTTTGTTGGAGTCCATCAAGCACTGAGCCTAAGTCACATATATTCTGAAAATAAGAGAACTCAAAGCTATGCTTGTGCAAACAAGACATTTATCCTGATGTGTTCTGATGATCCTATCTGTAACCCTCAAAAGAAAAAAAAAATACTAGATTTCCAAATGTTATAGAATCAGAGTTAGAAAAGGCCAATTTCCAAACATAGAAGTAATGGAGCCAATACTGGAACACCTTGACTGCTCTTCAAACCCACGCACCTGAAATTGCCTGGACTGTGGACATCTGTTTTAATGGAGTTGATTGCATATTCTGGCCTGTAGGTCCCACACCACACCTAGGGACAGGGATAGAAAAAGAAAAGCAGTGTGCTTAGGTTTAATCAAGGATTACTTGTTTGGAGAGGCAAGGAGAAAAGCAAACTCCCTATTTTAAAAGTTAAATTGGGATTCTGCATTCCTCAACTATTTACTCTTCAAATGATGTTCAATGATAGGCAGCCAGGATCATAATTATCATTAATATGATCTGACAGTCTGTTATACACAGTGAAATTTAGTCAAGTCAAACAATTTGCCACAATTGATTTAAGCAAGAAAACTCAGCATGCAATATCTAACTTACTATAAAATTGTAACTCAAAATGATTTTATATCTATCAATCAAGAACGATATAATACCTGGGCAAAGTTCAAGAAGAATAGTTGTTTGTGATTTAGGTCAAGTCCAGGAAGTAATTTTTCTTCGCCATTCTTTTTAACATAATTTTGATAGGCCTAGACAGTTAATGAAAAAGAAATATGATGTTTATCATTTTCAAATTATGTGTGTGTGTGTGTGTATGTGTGTGTGTGTGTA